TTTTGGGCTTTTTGGATGGTTTATACGATTGAGTTACAATTGACCATGTTGGTATTGAATATGGCAACCGTGCCTCAACCACATGCCAGCTAATGAATGGAGAGTTTTTTTAGCTAACATTTCTTGAGTAATACTTCTACCAAAAGAACAATATTGAATTCAAGTATTGAGAAGTAGACTAGTTATTGCTAAATTTTAAGATAAACAAAGAGAAATGATTAGATCTAACTTTCAAATTTATTATTTATGCTCCAACTAGAGCATTGAAACTCTGGATGATACAAACATAAAAATCTCCTCCCTTCTTTCTCTATCCATTTTCCGGTGGGGAACTGTTCTGAACTTAAGACAAAAGAAAAGGACACAATCGCTTCAATACCAAAGTTAGGTAGACTATATGCCTAACATTCTTCAAAATGGGGATAGAACAGAGCAGTAATAATAAGTTAAAAAAACACGCAGTCATCATGCTCGGAAAACAGAAGATGCTTGAGATCATCAACACTTGGGAAGATCAGACGGTGGAGGAGGTAGCTTCTGATTAGGGAGTTTCCCATCCAACACTATCCATGCCATACCCAAACCCCAGCTCAGATGGACATCAAAGTGGCAGTGCATTAACCAAACTCCTGTGTAAGGCAATTAAACAAACACCTGAGAAACACTTTTTCTATCAAAGCAATGAGCTTTATGATATCATATGTTATAAGCAATACCCACCTGGATTATCTGCTCTGAAACGGATTGCCAGCCAACCCCCAGAAGGAACCCCAATAGTGTTTCTTTCAACAGGATCAACAAGGTTGAATTTTGAAGGGTCCTTCTTGGGATCAAAGTTTCCAAAACCCTGACCCACAACGTAGAAATTGTAGCCATGGAGATGGAGAGGATGGCTCTCCGCTCCCAAGATGCTAGTGCCCTGCAGCACCACCTCTACGTTGGTGTTAAACGGCAGCACCACAACCTTTGTGCCATTCATTACAAAGGTAGTGTTCGGAGGGGTGCCAGTGTAATTGAATGGATGAAGTGGAGTTCTCGGGAAATCAGTGGTATAAACCCCATTAGACTGACCAAAGAAATAGGCCTGAAGAAGAGCTGTTGTGGGGAGAACCATAGAGACATTGCTCATAGAAGCTGCAAACTTTGTGCCATTAGGGCCCTGGCACGTCTGGTTTTTAGGGCAAGGCCTGTTCCCCAACCCAATCGTAAAGAAAAATTTCCTATCCACAGATTGAGGCACATTAGCAGGGAACTGGGAATTCGCCAAGCTCCTGAATTTGCTAGTGAAATTAGCAACAAAATTGGTAGCATTGAATGGAGGCAAAGATGGTTTCAAAGGTGGGCGGTTCTTCAAAGAGGCGGAAGGTGGTTGTTCATATTCAAGAATGCCTGCAACAGTGGTATTGTCAAAACTCCCCATTCCAGTGAAATATGGTCTGGCTAACATGAAGAAGGTGGCATTTGGTGGGTTAGGTTTGGTTTTGAGGAGGACATTGGTGGTTTGTCCTGGTGATATGAGCAGGATTTTGGTCTTAAATGGCTTGACGTATTGCGCATCAGCCTCAACAACAGTTAGACTGTGGTTTGCTATACTGAAGAAGAGATCATCATTGAGTGCAGCATTGATCAACCTCAGCATATATGTCTTCCCAGGCTTCACCTTCAGCTTGAATGTGTCTATATGGCAAATCAGAAAGCAACCAATTTTTAGAATTGGGTCATGGAATTGCTATGGTTTTTTTTTTTTTTTTTTTTTGGGTTAATTAGGATTTTGGGCATGGACCTGTTTCAGTCCAAAGTAATTAGCAAACCATTAACAACCTAGCAAGGTGGTACCTTTGGCAGAACAGTTATACAATGGACCTGGAAGCCCATTGAGACTGTAGGCATCAGAGACATTTGGGCCTCCTCCTGTCTGTAAACTCTGGCTGATGACTGCCACAGGATCAGCATTAAACCACTCTCCTATAGTTTTCACAACATGGTTAATCACCATAATAATTAAGAACATATTAATTAGAGATTAGCTTATAATTAAAGTATAAGACTGTTACCAAAAAGGATTGGAACTTCCTTATATGGCTTGGGAAATGGGTAAGAAGTATTGGGCATGGGATGGATGATGAGCGGTCCATACACAGTTGCCCTTAGCCATGAAATGTGAGCATGCCACCAAAGAGTTCCTCGTTGCCCAACAATGGTGAAGTTGTAGACATAACTCTGTTTGGTCTGAATTGGACATTGTGTGATGTATGAAGGACCATCGGCCCATCCACTCTGGAGCTGTCTCACTCCATGCCTAGATAGATTTCTCCCATGTCAACCCAACACAATTAGAAACCAAAATATCATCAATGAAATAATCAAGGAAAGAAAATAATTGGTTTCATACACACCAGTGAATGCTGATGTTGTTGGAAACATTATTGATGACTTTAACGACTAGGCGGTCGCCTTCTCTAGTGATTATCCGAGGTCCTGGGAACTTGCCATTGACTGCCACTATGCTTTTGGTACGGCACAGACGGGTGACAGTCTTCATCTCTATCTGCAAAGGAATAAGGGGAAGTGGACTTTCATTTTTGAGGATATTGTTATACATCTATCAAGTGTAGATGAAAAAAAGAGGATTAAGAAACACCTACATTGAAGGTGTAATGCCTTGTGATGCTTCGATGCTTTGCAAGGACAACCTGAGGAGCTGTCCAGAGACAGCTGAGAGCAAGAAGAAATGCTACAAGAACTGGTGTTGGAAGCAGAACAGAAGCAGCCATGTTGTCTTTTGTTTTTATGAAATCAAAATGGGAGAAGTAGAAGTTGTATCTTGAGATGTCTGCAGTTTTGGATATGAGAGTTTGTGGGGGGGAAAAATGCTTATATAGGCATGAAAGACAGTAGTGTTTGGTTGATTAGGTAATACGAGATGCTTACATGTTTTAAGATAGAATAGAAGTACCTACTGTTGGCCCATGCTCCCCCGTGGAGTGACATTAAAGTCAAATTAATTAAAATTTCCTCAATTTTTTCTGTTTTAATTTAACTAACAATCCCACTTCCACTATAGATTTTTTTTACAGGTTGCATTTTGGCTGTTGGAAAACTGACCAATGTCATGCCTCCAAGGTGTGATAAGGCTAATTGTTTAAAAATTTAGATGTTAAAACTTTATGTTAGAAGTCTCAAATTCAAATTTTAAGTTAAGTAAAAAAGCAATTTAAGAAAAAAAAAAGAGTTATTTTTTTTTATATAATTTATTATCAGATATATAAATAACAAAAAATAAACTGATCAAAGTTATAAATTCAAATCTAGATAAATTCTTAAGTTAAATTGGAACAATAAAAAATAATAACAACTTCTTGCCTGCATTATAATAAAGCCACCTAAAGTTTAGCAACTATATGCTGTTAAAAAAAAGTTAGGCAACTAATTGTTCTTTAGTGTTTTAGAGTGTCTACTTGACTTCCATAGACTTCCATGGTTTCTAACCGTTAAATCTTGGTAATCAAGATAAATCAGCAGGTAAGCTTCTTACTATAGCCCAGCAACTGCCTATGAGACTATGTCCTTTAGTCAATTTTACGTCCATGATAATCATTTTCATGGAAGACTAAATGGGGACCTGAACGATTTTGGTGGGTGGATTAACACATCTCTCCCAACCAAAGAGACCTCCAGGCATTCCCAAAGCCACAGCAAGAGAAGGACATTCGACCCACCTTCCTTTAAAGCAACAAAAGGAAATAACCAAACCCCTAATCACTAAAGCTTAATCATGAAGTTAAACACAAATTAAACCTGCTGTCCCAAAATATTTCACTTGAGTGGGTCTGTATTAGTTCAAGATTTTGGTTGTACCAACTACGAACCTTGTAGGGTACAAATTATTGTATTTACATACAGTGCAGATACAGATATTGACATATGTACTGTCTGGGTTTCTTCGTGTGTGTTTCCTTTTTTTGTGCATTACTCAAAATGAAACAGAAGAAACATGCCAGCAGTGGAAATGGTAAAAAGAAAAATGATTGCTATAACTTTACTTTAATATACGTTACAACCCACATTCATCAGTTCAGTCATTAAAAATTACAGTTTTTAGTTCTCTCACCTTTAATTCAATTTGAAAATAATAATCTTTTAATGAAAATAGTGCGAAGTATGTTGAAATAAAGAGTATACTAATTATTATCCGTAAAACTTATAATTAAAATCTCTACTTACTGTTTAAGTCAAGACTCCATCGACTACTGATCGATGATTGTCAAGTAAATTTGAACTCAAGAAATGAAACTTTGTATTATTGAGTTGGGAAGTAACAACATAGAATGATCCTTTTACAACATCGAAGATAGGATGAACAACAAAAGCTCCATGTTAGTCCCAGATCATAACAACTGCTATAACTGCAACGCCGAGTAGCACAGCGAGGAACTTGTAAGAGGGAGTGTCAAAGTAACATTTAGCTTGTGGTTTGAAACCTTTGGCTATGAGATGGTTGATGGCAACATAGACGAAAACTCCACATGCAAGTCCCATGGAGATGGCGTATATCCAATTGGCTACTTGTCCTTGTGTTGAGGAATCGATGGCTATGCCAATTCCAACTCCAATGGGGCTGGAAATGGCAAAGGCAAAAGAATAAGCACAGGTTAGCAGGAGCGGCCGTTCTGGCAGCATCTTGAGCAGGGCAATGCCCATTGCAATGGCTGCAAAGATTTTGTGCAGTGATATTGTCCACAGATTCCTCCATGCTTCTCCTTCGGTAGCTGAGAAACGAATTTATGTAAGTTTGAAATCTATGGGATCTCAAAATCAAGATTATTGGAAGTTCGTAGAAATCAACTCGGTTGACTAATAAAGTTACCTGAAACTCCAATGGCTATGCCTTCGAAAACAGAGTGGAAACAGAGGGCAGAAATGAGAAGGATGGTGTCTCCGAAAGAGGTCGTCTTGGTCGTCAAGAAAATAGGATTGGCATGATCCATCTGGTAATTTTTAGCCAGTTCTTCTGGAGTTCTTCCTCCTTCAATTTGGTTTACTTTTACTTCCTTCTCGCCGGCAGTAAAAGAGGCTATGACGCAGTCTCCAAGCATGGTTAAAAGATAACCAGCACAGGCCAGCATGAAGGCGAAAGGGTACGTCTTGTCCGTTACCTCCCCGAAAGTTTCATCGGAATCACTTAAGAAATGCATCAAAGAAGTGCCCAAAAATACCCCACCGGCAAACTGCGTTCCTAGAAGTAGAAAGCTCTCGTTCCATCGGTAGAAATAGGGGGAGACACCGCCGACGAAGGTGCTGACAAGAAGAATGATTAAACACCATACTTTGACCAAAATCAAGCCATTTGCATGGAGGTTTACATTACCATCGCCTTCAGCCTGATCCCCGTCTCCTCCGTGGCCGTTGATCAGGGGAACCTGGAGAACGAGAAGGAGGAAAGATATGAACAGAAAAGTTGACTTGAGTTCTGTGGAGGAAGCCATTGATGCCTGTTTCCTCCGTTCCTTGTGAACGGATTTGTCAATGTTAGTTGGGATGTTAAAAATTTTGGAGAGAATTAAATGAAACAGTGTAGGGTTTGTCCCCCATTTCCTTTGTTTTGCAGTACAATTTTGACTTTTCAAAGTATACGCGCCTTTGTACTACACATTTAAAAGCTGCTAACAAATCATAACAAGTCATGAGACATGAGTGCGTCCTACAAAATTATACAGGGCAAAGAATACGCTTCTCTTTTAAGGTGGGTTATATATAGACAGTACATATCCTCATGGTCTCCCTAGAAGTTATTTACAGACATTGTTTAATGCAGATGAAAGCATATACCATATACAGGTTGTTGTAGCACTTGGGATGTCAAACCACGTCCGAATCGTCTGATTCACTTTCTCTGCTTTCCTCCCATCCTGATCTCATCTGAAACTTACAGACTGGGCATGTGCCTTGTTGTCGCAGCCATGGATCAATACAATTCGCATGGAACTGCAAAAAAAAAAGAAAAACCTCAAAGTATCAGAAGACCCATCCATTTACAATCCTAAGTACAGGTAACTGAAGCCACGTAGGCTGAGGATGAACCTGATGTAAACATGGCAAGCTTCGGACAAGCTCTCCCCGGCTGACTTGATCCAAGCAAATGGTGCATGTTAATTCGTCTTCTGAAGCCTTTGCACTCCCATCCGTGTTTCTAGAGTCTTGCTTTGTCTGCTTGCAAAAAGTGTGTATTTCATTTTAGTCACCATCAACAGTATAGTGGACGTGAAATGATTCAAAGGGATGAGGTGTCAAAAGACTAGCATACTTTAATCATATCCATCCACACATGCCATGCTAGAAACCTAGAAATTAAGAGGCCCACCAATCTAGAGATCCAGAAATTTAATAGTTCCCAAAATCTTAAATAGAGCTTTTAGCATTCATAAAACACCAGAGAGGGAGAAAACAAGATTGCACAAGTTCATATCAATATATCTAATTGTGAATCAATCCCAGGAATACAATTATTGATAAAATGAAAATGCATAAAAAATACCTCAAGCGGTGCTCCAGAAGAAGATGATGGCTGCTGCAGTGATGGTCCAGCACTGGTAAAGTATTCGAGGGGGAAAAAGTCAATGAATTATAACCTTGGTCTGAATTAAAGTAAGCAGACTTTGACCATTTACCTATCAGGGTTAGGGACCTTGTACTTATGCACAGGTAATGCATTTATCTCCTCCTCACTCATTGAAGGAGTTGTGGAAGGATTATCAGAGTCCAAAGCTCTCAGGGTATCATAATCTAGAGCAGAATAGAAGGAAATAACAATATTCAGGAAATGCCCCAACATTATAAAAAGGGGGAAAATAGCATTGTTCATCTGCAAGTGCATCTTCAATTTTCAGGACTCAGGTGATTGCTTTTATCCAAAAAATAAAAAAAATAAAAAGTAAAAGATTCAGGTGATTGAACACGTAGGATGATAGGAGCTCATTCACTAATTTTCAGAGACACCATACCTAATTCATCAAATTCACGGTCAAGAAGTGCAAGCTGAAGTCTCAGTCCTGGTAGGCGTCCTCTTGTTGCAAAAGCTATTGATGGGGGAACATGCAAACGCAATTCAGTATGGCCAAGCAAGCCACTAGCTGCTGCGGCATGAGCTCGAGCCTGAGCTTGAAGTTGTTGACAAGTAGCATACATCCTCAGGCTTGTGGCCATTAAAAAAACACCGACCACTAGCCAAAGCTGCATTCACCAATACAGAAAATAACACCAATGTTTCTATGCATTTTCAGATACAAAAGCATTCTACAACTAAATATACAATAAGTACATACCAGAAAGTTTGGTGACATTTGATGAGAGTTTAAAATCATGAACAGCAAAAGAACTGCTGGATAAACATATTAAGCAGAGATTAGAAATGTAAATTAGCAATACAGTGTGGGATGTGGTTGAGAAATAAATAAAATGTAATGCAAGTTATAAAATTGTTGAAAAAAATAAACAGTACCTGTGACAAGGAAGGCCAGTGAATTTGTGTTGACTGGTCGAGCTGCATGAATACGCTGATAATAAGATGGGAGATGATCAGTAAAAACGAGAGATCAAGTGCCCCATCATTTATATGGGTAATCTGATCAAGCCACAGGTAAAAAAGTAAAAGTTACAGTCTCAGAAATGGGGGAACATACCACAGCAGGTCGTTCTGGAATAAATCCAGGAAACCCACTTTCAATATCTCCTCTAGTCCCCCGGAAAACAAAACTCATAGCTGCAGCAATTCAGGAATTTGCACCCCTCCAAAAAAGTAACAGACGGTGTGAAATTTCTGACCCTCGAGTTGGAACCTTGAAATCCTACTAGATTTCATATGTAAGTAAGTAAATCACTATTAAAAAAGGGCAAATAACAGGGATAACACGCATTATTGAAAAGTTTGAGCAGAATTTACAGGTCACTAATGTATGATAAAATTAAGCTCAGAATGCTGCCTGTCATATTCAATCATCTTCAAAAAGGAATCTTTATTAACTAGAGTTCAATCTCAATAAATCAAAATTTCCGAGACCAACATTTGCCAAAGGAATCTTCATTATACCTTAGTGATCCATAAGTTTAGCAAACAAAAGAAGAATCATAGCTTTTTTTCCCCCAAACTCTACCTAAATCAGCGTTAGGATGGGACATCAGGTGCTCCTAGGATTACAAAATAAGAACAAAAAGGTATAAAAGCGACAATATTCTAGCAATAAGATCCCACCACTAAAGAATTCAACACAGAAGAATATTATAGAGATGAATGTCATCATCCCCAATTGCTATTTTATCATAATAATTGAAAATTTCATAAATCAGAGGCAATGAGATATGCAGCACAACAGTGAGTGACGACTACTCCAAGTCTCAGTGCCGAGTTTGGTCGCTGAGAAAATTGCAAAGAAAAAATTTTTTTTTAAAAAAAAACAATTGAATCCGTCAAGATTTTATTTTTCTTCCTTTTTCTCAGCAACCAAACAGATTCACTGACCTACCTACAAACAAGCAAAGTGAGAAACGAGAAATTACACTTACAGGAAACGACGCGATCGCCGGACACAGAAACAAGATCAAATCAAAACGGCGCTCCGATCGCACAAACAAGCATTCAATTCAATCTCACTCGCCCGAACCAAAATCAAAATTGGAGAAGAGAAACAGATCAGAAAAGAGCGATGGAAAAGAAGAGATCTCTCTTTCGGTTGTTCCAGCAGCGGTAGCTTTCTTTCTCTTTCCAGAAACTGATTTTGTGGATTTTTTATTTATCCTCTTTTTTTTTTCTTTTTTCTTTTTTTCAGTTTAAGTTTATTTATGCCTTAAAAAGAGTTTCGAGAAAGCTCGGGATGATGACACGTCAACTTGAATTAAGAGGAAACGGTGCCACGTAGTGTTGACAGCGTGGACCGATTCATCTGAGCCGTTGGATCTAACCTCTTGAACGATCAGATTTGTGTAGTGGAGATTCACCTTTCGTAAAAGGTTAAGTCCCCAATTCAGTCCCTCAACTTTTATTTTTGAACTAAAATTACCCTCGAACTTCAAAAAATACTAAAAAAATCCTTGAACTTCAATTTTTGGGACCAATTTCGTCCTTCCATCAACGGAAGTGCCAGATGGCACGTTAAGTTGCCACGAAATCAATTCTTATTTGAAATCTTTAATTACGTGGAAAATCTTTAAGTTGCCCAATCAGCACCGATCATCCCTCATTGCTCCGGTCATCCTTCATTACTCCGATCATCTATTATCACTTCAATCCCCAAACCTCCTCTCTAATAGAACCCAAATCTGATTCCTCGCACAAGATCTGATTCAAAAAATCAATTCCCCTGCAAATGTATACTAGATCTCTTCAATCAACACTAAGAGCAATCAACACTAACAGTAACTAGATCTTGAAATTCAAGCAATCAAAGCCACACAAAATTCTAAATCCCATTCCAAGATAGCCAAACACGACTGCAGCGAACAAAGAAACAGAAGAAAAAACCCAGGCGGCTTCGACTCAAACATGACTGCACCAAATTTGCAATAACGTCATGTGATTATATGATTATTTCTTTTCATTTATAAATTACTAATGATATTATATGTATTTATTTATTTATTAATATATTATAATTTTATACTCATATATAACATTATAACTATAGTATTATCAAACAATAAACGACTTTGGAATGGAACATGACTATAGTGATCAATTTTGATGGTATCAAAAATAGCCTGGGCGTTATAGAATGATATTGATAGGTTCAGAATAGAAGGAAACAAAGGTTAGGGTCATTTTTTAGAACCACAACAAAAAATTTGGGCATAAAATTGTAGATTTACCCTAGATGTAATAATGAGGTGGACTGATGGGGATAATTTGGTGTAAACAGTTGATAAACTGTTTTTTTTTTATATAGTTGGAGGGTTGATTAATAGCTGAGTAGGTGGCGGGCGGCATAATTGGGCCCGGCCAGATTGCAGTTTGGGTTGGGCGTCCCAGTCGGTGGGATAGACACTGATGGGCTTTTCACGGCTGGTATGAAAGGCTTGAGCTTCTGACACGTGGCAGAAAAGCTTAAGTGAAAAGGTTAAATGTCCAATTTGATCCCTAAACTATTATACGAACCTTCAATTTGGTCCCTAAACTAAAAAATCCTTAATTTGATCTCCAAACTATTGTACTAACCCCTAATTTGGTCTTTACTGTTTATCAATTTACCTCAAATTGGTCATTCCATATAAAAACCAACTAACATGTCTTGTTCTTAACATGACACTTAACCATTAAATTATTATTTTTAATCATTAAATTACTTTTTTTTACTATTAAATTACTTTTTTTTTCCATTAAGTAACGGACACGTCAGCTTTTTTTTGTAAGAAATGGCCAAATTGAGACAAATTGATAAACAAGAAGGACTAAATCAAAAAATGTTTTAATTTAGAAACCAAATCAAAAGTCTATATAATAGTTTAAGACCAAATTGAGGGTTTAACCAAATGAAAATCCATACGTGGCCCATGTTGAAAGGAATATTTTTGAAACCGAATAATACGGCCATTTGTTTCCAGATTTTTAATAGGCTAATCATATATGCAGATAGATATAAGAATAATTTTTTATATAATTTTTATATATTATTTAATAAATATACATTTAATATTATAGACCTTAAATAAATAAAAAAATTAATTATTTAATTGATATACAAAGTTATACTAAAATATGACATAAAAAGATTGTTCTTAAATTATTTTTTAATTATATTTTAAGTAGCATTCCAGGATTAAAAAAAAAAAAAAAGGCATTTCAGAGATGTCACGGGATTTGGTTAATATTATGACATTAGGATTGATATTTTGATAATACTGTAGACCTTCTTTTTAATGAAATAGTTGTAATATTATATAAATTTATAAATTTATATTTATAATGCATTATAAATCAGTTAATACATTTATAGTAAAAAATATAAATTAATATATATAAATTTATAAATGAACTTGTAAATATAAAAAGTCAATTATATAATGATTATAAATTTATAATAACATTAAGTGACGTTGTAACTAATTAGAATATTATCAACTTTATTAGAGTAAAACCCGATATTATCAATATTTTAATACATTTGAATGTGAATGTTGGCAATCATTTTATTAGTTGCTGTTTCATTGGCTACCAATGTTCTTGAACTGGCAAACAAATGGTTTTGAATTGAAGATGAGGTAAGATGAGGTGTGTTTAAAGATTTGGACATGATTATGACACCATGTGGATAAGCTATGTTATGCGTTCATTTATATATATTACTAAGTAGAGTTTCATGCTTTCAAGCAAAACTCTAGGGATGCAATTTGAACAAGCTAAAATGTATGTGTATGAAGGCTGTTACGAAGCTTACGCAGCCTAAAATCTTTATAAAGTCAACCTTCTCTTTCCTTTTTTGGGCCAACTAAAAACTCTCAACCTTAGATGAGATTGCCACTTTTTTTTTGGGGGGGGATGAATATATCACATTGGTATTCAAGATACATCCTTTAATTCGATGACATAAACCTACTATATTTGATTGCACTTGTATCAACTTCGTTATTTTTACACTTGTAATGTATCTATTTGTGTACAACTACTGAACTACTCTTTTTCCAAAAGGGCAATGAAAGATAGAACAAAAAATTTAAGATTAAATTTAAAATTAATAATATAGTTTAAATCATATCATTTAAAATATTAAAAAATAAAATTTATATTATTTATTGATAAATTTTGTTATTTTATTAAAATTTATAATATTATATATATTAATTCATTTAATAATATAATTTACACCATTAACTATATTATTGCTCCCAAAATTTCATCATCTGTGTCACTAATCTTATCCTAATCTTATCCAAAACCACGCACCAAAGGCCACAGCTATAATTCATCTTTTTTTTTCTTTTTATATGCTTGATTGTGGACTATATAATAAGATATTCATTTCTTAATTCCTAGTCTCCCTCTTCACCCTTCATTACTTTTGAAGGAAGATAATTTTTCCATTCAATCAACTCATTTGCCACGTAAGTTAAGGGAAAAAAGAACAAAAATGCAAGACGTGTAACTTTTGTTGATTAATGTCCAAATCAGTGCAAGGTAAGTTTCAGTTAACATGACGATAGAAAGGCAGACGGAAAAATAACATTTTATGACATCATTATTTGCAAAAGAGCTGATTTGTTAGTTTTAGTTTTTTATTTATTTATTTATTTATTTATAAAATAGTGCAAGCAAACCAATCATTTCTTGATTTGAGTTAAAAAAATTTGATTCCTTTGAATAAGGTTTCAAATTCAAATTTTGTAAATAAAAAAATAACCATTAATTAGTGAATATACGAAGGTAAGTATAAAAAAAAAATATACAAAAAAATATATACAAGCAATTCAACTTAGAAAAAAAAAAAAGAGGAAGTTATAGAAGGAGTAACCTTTGCTAATTAGTGAAGAAATTTTTTATATTTAAATATTTAGTTAATGAATTTGCAAGCCTTCCCCATTTGCAAATTTTTGTTAAGCACATAGATTTACATTACTAAAGTATATTGATACGTAAAATCAAGATGGTTTGCCCCAAGTCTTAAGGCTTGGGTGAGGCAATGGTGAAGGTTTCAAGCTTCATTATCATTGTGAATTTCATAAAAAAGTGATTTAATGATCACGCGCCTTATTTGAGAGGGTGGAATATTCACTGATCTGGGAATCTTAGTTGCTAACAACTAATTCATATTAACTTTTTAACCATTTTTATTGTCAAAAAAAAAAAAAAAGAAATCTAAAACCAAGTTGAAGGGCGAAATTGCAGCTTTTTGCTACTATTATAAATTTTTAAAAAAAGGTAACAATGCCATTGACCATAATAAATTCGAATTTTATCGTCCAAAGTATGTAAGAAAAATTCCCAAATAAAAATATTATTTAATAGTTAAAATTATAAAATCTAATATAATTTAAACTTTACAATTAATTTCTTAAAAAAATCAATAAATTAAATAATTCAAGATTATCTTTTTTCGTTAAAAATAAAAAATTTTAAATTTAAATTATATGACATGTAAATAAAGTAAAATAAAAAATATGAAATGATTACATTTTATTATACAATAAAAATAAAATAAATTCTTAAAAAAAATAATAACACAATTTTTGTTCCGACTTCTTTTATACACGGAAAATAGAAAAAGGAAAATGATGAATTTCCTATTTTTCTTCCTTTAATTACTAGCAAAATTTCCCAGTCAATTATCCGAACACTGTGCAAAGTCGGACCAAGTCAATTCAACCCCCCACCGCCATTAAACCTGAAAATTGAAACAAGATTTCTAACAACCCTCCTGAACCTACCCTCCCTCCGCCGAATACCGACCCAAGAAACCCTCCTCCGACCACCGTGATCCGAATCCCCAAACCCACCATCCACCTCCGGCACTCCTCTTTCTCCCCTGAATCTTCCAACCGCAAACACGCCCCCTGGCAACCGCCAGATACTCAGACCCACCGTAGCCGTACTCCCCGACCCACTTTCTCGACAGTCATCGGCCGGCAGCTGGTGCCGGCAAACGGGGCAAGTGTTCCGCAGTGACAGCCAGGGAAGGATGCAGTCTTCATGGAATATGTGCTTGCAGGGCATCTCCTGCGCCTGGGTTCCTAGCTCGAATGCTTCTTTGCAGACAGCACAGTGAGATTCCGAGCTAACGTGGGTCAAGCCTATCTCCACCGTCGGCATTGATTCGATTGCGGACTTTGATGCCGGCGGGTTCCCGGGTTGACCGAATCCTGCGAATTCAATCTGCGAGAGCTGTTCCAGTACCCGTTCAAACCCCGATCCCATCAACGATTCCGACAAGGACACCGGCACCGGTCGCAGGCCTGACCCGGACCCATCATCATGGTACAATTGAAACGCGCTGTTGTCGTCGTCGTTTTCAGACTCAGCCGAGCCAGAACCAGAACCAGACCCACGCAGTGCGATGATGTGATTAATGTTTGACCAGTCAACGGCGCTACTCCGATTACGGTGGAACCTTAAGATTCTGGAGAGATTAGAATGATAATGGGTTGCGTCGTTGCCGGCTATCACGTAGACGGTCGGAACCTGATGGCTGTGATTGACGGATTCGATCTCCTCAACGAATCCACCATCGCAATACGGACAAGAAATGCCGTCGTTGTTATCGTCGTCCACAGACAAACCCCGAACCAGGCGGGTACAATTGTAACACCAATAGGACGGCCCCGCCGTCGCCGTCGCCGTCGCTGGCATGTTTGACCCACTATCCATAATTACTTCAGATCCAGAGAGCAGAACCTTTTTTTCCAAAAGAATGGATAAAAAATATAATTACAGAGTGAGGAGGAGCCTGAGTGCTTTAAATAAGTCACGGGAAGCGGTGTTAATGGCGAGAGTGTGAATTCAAACGTGTATTCATTACGTGGCAAGTTTTGATTGGGTATATTTAACGGCGTTTATCTATTGGAAGTTGCAAAAAAAACAGGAAGGGAGGCTATCTTGGTGATCCTCAATCTTTTAAGCATTGTTACATTAGATCTCTAATCTTTTTGGAATTTTTTCTTTTTGAACTTGTACAATTTTGGGGTAGAGGAATAACCATGGATTACACAACAGATTACACTTTTTTTTTTAAAAGTAATTTTGTCAATAAACAATCATTCAATGGCCAAAGATGTTTTGGGTTGATTCAAACAAATAAAACTAAATTTTGTTAGAACTTTTGTAAGTAATTCTTTCTGTTTTGTTAGGAATAATTGATCAACCTTTTTATTTTTGTGGGGAAAAATATCATCCATAGACCATAGTTATTCCTCTTTTCTATAACGGTTTTTAAGGATATAATTGATATTTTTTTTAGCCATTAAATTATATGAAAAAGTGAATATTAGTTTTATTATCTATGTCATATGCATTAATTTAATTAGTTACTTATGAAACTAAAGTCAAATTTTATTTTATTTTTATATATATCTCAATGAATAAAAGGTGTAATTGCATTGGTGTATTAATTGCATTCTTAAGGGTACAAGCTAAAATGAAACCCTTTCATCATTAATTTGTATGGAAAATCATAGAAGTAAACTTTATTTTTAATATCAATGTCATGTGAAATGATTTAATTGAATAGTTAATAAAATTATAATCAACTTTTTTTAATGCAAATTAATAATAAAAATGTACAATAAATGCACCATTAGGCATTCATTTTATAATTGTTGGGTTTGTTTAATCTGTATTCTTAGAACACAGGTTAATGATGCAATAAATATACTCTTTTATAATTAATTTACATAAAAAATACCAAAGTTGACATCTATTTTAACACTATTATCATGTGAATAGTTATAATTAGTCATTTAATTAAATTGAAGTTAACATTTGTATTTTTTATACAAAGTAATTACAAAAAATATAATAAGTGCACTCTTAACCTCCTATCTAAGTGCATATGATAGAAAAATCCATAATTGTTATATGATTTTTCTATCTTGTGCCTTAGGACACATGTTAACGGATGTAATTAATGATTTTTTTACAATTAATTTGTATGAAAAGGATAAGTGTTGACTTTAAATTGATTAATTACCAATTAAAATAATT